TCTTATTTAAATTTTCAGTATTTTGTAAATTCATAAGTTAAGAATGAAATCTGGAAGCATCATTTTTATATTAATTACATTCATTATTTTTAACTAAGATAAGACTGTTTAATCTTTTAATCTCTTCAGACATTTATTTAGTTTGATGATCTTGTTCTTTATTTTTCCATTATACTATTATTATGGAAATATAAGATTACATTCATTTAATTATCTATTCTATAAAGTTAAATGCTCTAATTATCCTTTCAATAAATTGTTATCAGTTGTTAATTATTCTATATCTTTTCTTTAGATTTCAAGTTTTTTAAGTGAAGCATCATAATTTTATTAAATAATTTTCATATTATTTTCACACATTCCTAAATGATATTTAAGTGTTCCAATTTCTTATTCTCTTGTATCAACTGCAGTAACAAATTTTTATAATCCATCATTTCTAGATCTTAATTATACTATTTCTAATTCCAATTAAGATATCTTATCTTTTAATTTTTAGTTTTCTTCATATTATTATTATTATTATTATTACAATTTAGCAAATTAAGATCTTAGACTTCTATGATCAAAGTTTAATTAATCTAATAATTATTTCATACTAATATTATCATTAAGTAATAATTAATTGTCTTTTTCTTATTATACTAATTATTTCTTAAGTTACTCATTTTCTGTTACTTATTAATCATATTATTAACTTACTCTTTTATTTTCATCTTAAACACTCAATAATTTATTAAATTATTTATTTAATGCATCATGATCTGATTTTAATTATAAAGTCTATCTTAATAATTCTTTATATTGCATCTCAAAAGCTTTATAAGTTGCTATCTCTTTTCTAACTTATTCTACTTCATCAGCTACTTTTTATAATTCTCCATTTTATGCCTTTATTTAACTTAATTAAGTTTATAATTCAGTCACTTATTTCTTCATAGCCTAATTTTATGCATCAGCTTCTTTAACATGATCTGCAATAATTTTTAATTCATCAGCTCTCTCTCTAAGAGCTCCATTTTCACTCTTTAAAGCTCCAGCATTCATTATTTCTCTTGTTTAATTTATCAATTATGCTCTTAATTCTTAATTCTCTAATTGTAAACCTTTCAATTATTGTAAAATTTGAATCTAATTTTAATTTGATACATTAGATTATTATTGAGGTAGATTAGTTTAACTTGAAATTTATTATTGATTATTCATCATAGTACTTTTGATAGGTATATTTTATTAAGGAATTTCACTTTGTGGAAAAATACTTTTTTCAAATGGAGTATCCTTTTATTATTTTTCTTATTTTTCTTTATAAATTGGTTAACTTGCTATAACATCTGTTGGAGCTTATACAGGAGGTGATACTTAAGATTATTTAACCATTTCAGATTATGGTCTTAACATTGGAGCTGAATTAGGTATACTCTTTTAAGTAAGATAATCCCCTTTTGATATGGTATTGTATTGTAATGCTTTACTCATATAATTATATTTATTAAATGATGACTTTAAAAAAAATAGAAGATTTATAAGAAACTCATAAAATAGTTTATGTTCCCCCTATAAATTATAGAAAATATAGTATGATTAATGAGAGAAATAGTTTATATGGAGTTACAATAGATTTTAGATTTTTAGAAGAAATATTGACAAATTAGTATTTAGCAAGTTCACACTTATTGTTCTATTGTAACTTATTTAGACATGCTTATTAAAATATAAAAGTAATAAACATTTGATTCTAGATTGCAATAGCTCAATGTTATTTTTTTGCAGAATACATGGAAGCATCTACTAAATAAATTGATAACTTAATGTTAGATACTTAATTATTTGCTAAGAATTACGATATTGATCATAAGACAGATTAATTGAATTAAAAATCTAGTTCTGAATTATAGAATTAAATTACTATACCTTAGAATTTAGGTGTTAATAATATAACTAGCAATAATAAATAATGGACATTTCAAATTACAAATATATCTGTTGTTAAAAATAATCCCCTTTAAAATAAAGAGAAATACAATGTTAGTAAATTAGAAACATTACTAACATAAATGGCTTCTTAAAATGATTTAAAAGATATTTAATCTTTAAATTAATAAGAGTATCTATTTTTTCCAATTAATTAACAAAATAATCATTGGATTAGTTTAATAATCTGTCTAAAAGAAAAGAAGATTAGATACTTTGATTCATATAACTCTCATACAAATTAAGATATTATTAAAGCAGCCATGGAGATACTCAAATTTATTGGTGTTACTATGCCTTCTGAATATACTATTTCAACTCATTATAATAAGTAAGATAATGGGTATACTTTATTATGACTATTAATAGTTTCGATTGTGGAATCTTTACATTGATATCATTACTATATACCTATCAAAGACTACCCTATAATTATAATTAATAACTTGTGACCAAATATAGATAATCAATATTATACAACCTTGCAATTGTGGGATCTCAAATACAAGTAAATTAAGAATTACTTGAAAAAATTATTTAATTGTCAATGCTCTGATAATAATAATAAATTTTTAGTAGTTATTAATTAAATAATTAAATTATATAAAGTTTTTTGAATATTAATAATGGAAACTGACATAAACATTCCTAAAACAAAAGCTGTTAATGTTTTCTTTTAATTTGCAAGAATGCAATTCTATTTAACTGTCTTTTCTAATCTATTACCTATTATAATAAGTTATACAAATTAAATTTGTTCAAGTAAGTCAAATATATCATTCATAAGATGAGGGAATTAAATTAATCTCTTTAAGCTACAAAGGTGATATAGTACTATTAATTCTAAATTTAATCTCATTTCTATTTATTTGGCTCAAAGAACCATTTGCAAGGTACAATTTTTGTTATTGAATTAGACTTGAATTTTTTGTAATGTATGCAATCAACATTTGTTGGAGTGGAATTATGATAGGTTAGACATATTTAGATGTTACAACACAACCAAATGAATGTGAAGGTGTTATCTTATCATAAAAATTGATACNCATGGAAGCATCTACTAAATAAATTGATAACTTAATGTTAGATACTTAATTATTTGCTAAGAATTACGATATTGATCATAAGACAGATTAATTGAATTAAAAATCTAGTTCTGAATTATAGAATTAAATTACTATACCTTAGAATTTAGGTGTTAATAATATAACTAGCAATAATAAATAATGGACATTTCAAATTACAAATATATCTGTTGTTAAAAATAATCCCCTTTAAAATAAAGAGAAATACAATGTTAGTAAATTAGAAACATTACTAACATAAATGGCTTCTTAAAATGATTTAAAAGATATTTAATCTTTAAATTAATAAGAGTATCTATTTTTTCCAATTAATTAACAAAATAATCATTGGATTAGTTTAATAATCTGTCTAAAAGAAAAGAAGATTAGATACTTTGATTCATATAACTCTCATACAAATTAAGATATTATTAAAGCAGCCATGGAGATACTCAAATTTATTGGTGTTACTATGCCTTCTGAATATACTATTTCAACTCATTATAATAAGTAAGATAATGGGTATACTTTATTATGACTATTAATAGTTTCGATTGTGGAATCTTTACATTGATATCATTACTATATACCTATCAAAGACTACCCTATAATTATAATTAATAACTTGTGACCAAATATAGATAATCAATATTATACAACCTTGCAATTGTGGGATCTCAAATACAAGTAAATTAAGAATTACTTGAAAAAATTATTTAATTGTCAATGCTCTGATAATAATAATAAATTTTTAGTAGTTATTAATTAAATAATTAAATTATATAAAGTTTTTTGAATATTAATAATGGAAACTGACATAAACATTCCTAAAACAAAAGCTGTTAATGTTTTCTTTTAATTTGCAAGAATGCAATTCTATTTAACTGTCTTTTCTAATCTATTACCTATTATAATAAGTTATACAAATTAAATTTGTTCAAGTAAGTCAAATATATCATTCATAAGATGAGGGAATTAAATTAATCTCTTTAAGCTACAAAGGTGATATAGTACTATTAATTCTAAATTTAATCTCATTTCTATTTATTTGGCTCAAAGAACCATTTGCAAGGTACAATTTTTGTTATTGAATTAGACTTGAATTTTTTGTAATGTATGCAATCAACATTTGTTGGAGTGGAATTATGATAGGTTAGACATATTTAGATGTTACAACACAACCAAATGAATGTGAAGGTGTTATCTTATCATAAAAATTGATACTTTTTTTTCATTTGAAAACTCATCTAGAAGTAAGATTTAATATATGATTAATAGGTTCTATTAACTCTATTTTCTCCAATATTGTTTGCTTTCAGAATAACAAATTTACCAAATTCATTTTTTGCAATTTATTTAATATTGACAGCAAATTCACCATAATAATTATGTTCAAGAGACATACCTAATATTGAATTTGGATTATTATTTATAGCTTTAATATCTTGTTTATTAGGATTGCCTTTAAATATAGGATTATTTTTAACAAAAAAGGTTACGATTCCAAATTTGTTTCGATTTTTATTAATGTTGACAATAATAGGTTAGAGTGGTTTAATAGGTTTTGAAACATTTATGATAATTAGCTCTCATTTATTAGGCTGACGTAGATTTAAGATAAGAATGTAGTCCAACTCATCTTTTGTTTAGGTCTTATTTATATGTTATTCCTATAACTATTTTAAGTGCTTTAAGTTTATTGTTTTCAATGCCAATTTAGGATCATGATGAAATAAGATAACTTCTAATTCAAGCTAGAATGAAACCTTTAAAAACATAACTACCAATATAATAAGATGTTACTAAACCTTAAGTCTAATAATAATAGGATGAAATTTTAAATAGATCTGCAATAGATGGAGGAAAATCACAAATTGGAGCTAAATCTTAAGTTGGAGGAAAATCATAATATGGAACAATTAGTAGAAGAGGATGAATTTAGAATATATTTATATAATATAATCATGCTCTAAAGTAATTGTGTTGATTTCTAGATGTTTTATTTCTTTCAGTTTATAAGATTTTTGCAAATTTTTCAGAGATCATATGTTTAACTCCATGTTAAATTCCTTCATTTTCTAATTCTAATCCAAAGGTTTTGAGTCGCTTTTTAACATCATGGAGATTTTGAATACCTTCAAGCATGATTTCTCCAGTTCCATCTCCTTTATTATTAATCTTATTGTAATTTTGTCTACAATAAACAATTCCTACTCCTTGATGTCTTAAAGTCCTTTTTAATTAAGTTTCATTAAATTTTTCAGTGAGTCCTTTAATTTTTATTTGTTATGGTTAAGAAGTAGGAGTTAAAGATCTTTTAGAAGATAAATTAATAAGTTCTGTTTTTTCTGGATATAATCTTAATGGTGATATTGAATTATTATTTTCTAATCTAGAAGTATTAGTAAAATTAAATTAAGCTTGTAATGGATGTTTATTTGGAGTTGCCTACTTGTTTTTTTAATACATTTGATAAATTTTTGAATTTTGTACAGTCATAGAGGCTGAAAGATCTGGTTCAATGGGAAACAAGAATTCTTTTGGATGATCGATAGTGCTTATTGATCTTAATTTCATTTTATTAACAGATAAATTATATTTAATATTGATTTTGTGAAATATGCACAAAAAGAAGAATAAGATTAGTTGTGATCTATTATTGATATTAAATAACTACTTATGATATGGAATATGATAATAAGAATTTAAGAATATTATATAAAAAGTAGTATTTATGAGTTAATGACTTCGTATCCATAATTTAATAATATTATTTTAAATATGGAAAAGCCAACCTTTTGGGCTATTTTAGGATTTCTGTCAATGGGGATTATATTATCATTCTCTTCAATGGGAATATTCTTAACCAAATATGACCAAGACAAGGAAGCTCTTATATATAAAAAGGCTGTTTTGACAGAGTAAGTATTTGATTGATAGTTAGTGCTAATGCTTTGTCTTGGGGAGCTACTCCAGGGTATAAGGATGTAAAAGAAATAAATACCTTTTAATTTTTTACTCATCGTTCAGGAATAATTTTTGATGTTGCAAAAGAATCCTCAAATTATTCCTATGTATCAGAATTGTCTAATAGAACTTATGTTCCTTCAGTAATACATTTTCTTATAATCATAGTCACTTGGATTCATAAAATTCTTCCCCAAATTTAAGTTTGAGAAAATATCAGATTAGACTAGTGATATTACAAATCTAAATATTGCAGCAATCTAATACTTTTATAGAAGTTTTAATTAACCTGCTTTTGCTAAGTTGCCTAGATATTTAAATATGATATTTCAAGGATTATCTTAAGATTTTATGAATTACTATTTTACTCACACCATATATGATTTCTATACATCTGATTAACAATTAGTTTATGATACTATATTCACACCAGCCAAAATTAGGTATCAATTAATCTTAATATATATAGTAAGGAGACACAAGATAAAATGTGGAATGATGAATAATATGGATGGAGTTCTGAAGCCAGTTTCTCTAAATGGATAAGAGCATATTTCAATGGAGGAGATAGTAAATTATAACTTTATTTTTCCTTATCTGATGAATAGATGAATGAACTTATTGGATAAGGATCAACAATCAACAAACTTAGAAAACTAATCATAAATTCAGTTTCTACAGGTGTTTAAGGACAATAAAAAGGAAGTTGTTTAAAAAAAAATGAATGTACATTATGGGAATTAGGTGTCATTTAATGGGCATTTGGTGGTTTAACAGCAAAAGATTTTGTTCCACCAGTTACATTTTCAGGTGGTAGTTATTCTAAATTTAATGATTCAATCCCTAAGAGTTATGAATTCTATATAGATGGATCTGAATATTAATATGATGATGTGAAAAATAACATTGGTCAAAATTTTGAATAAATGCCAAATCTTTTAGGATTCAATACTATGTAATATATTTGGGAGAATAAAGATCATCTTGAAAGAGTGTCTAATAAATTAAATTGGTAAAATGACAATGCTACAAATTACACAAAATCTACAAATTTAATTAAATATTTAAATACTTAATTTGATTATATTAATAATATTGAAGATACTTATGCATTTTAAACTTGGAGATTTATGAGTAAAATGATTTATGAAGCTGGTATTATGTTGAGAGATGGATTATATGCAAAAGCTTTATATTATAGATTTGAAAATATTAAATGTGCAGATGATTATTTTATTCCATTTTAAGATGCATGTGATAGTAAATATGATTTTACTATAAATCCAAAGAATGCATTAATTTGGGTTAATGCTGCATTTGAAAAAAAGTAATCAGATTCATTTAAAACATTAATGAAAGATTTAAAAGCAAATGAATAAGTTTTATGGGATTATTTAACTGATGGAATGTCAGATTTTTCAAAAGCTATGAATGAATTTCATTTGGCAATATCAAAATTTTATAAATGCACTTATTAAATATGTTAAGCAGAAGAATTATGGTATAAATAATGGGGAAATAGTTCAGTAACTTAAAATTATCCTAAAGAATTAGCCTTTTGGGATACTGATAAAACAATTACAATATCAAAATGGGATATTTATGCAGATAAACCATTTGTTCATTATGAATTTTATTCATTTTGTGGTGAAAAAATAACTGAAAAAATATAATAACAATTATTTAATTTTGATATGGGTGGAATATTTGGATATTATTCTTTAAGAAATTTATATGAACATCATTTCAATAGTACAAAAGTATTAAGTCCAAAGTTTCCATTAAAAGGTGAACAATTAAAATTACTTATTAAATATCTTAAACATTGTTTAACAAATTATTGGTATGGAGGTCATATGATTACAACCTAATAATCTAAATATTTATTTGATTATGATAATACTTACACTGATAAAATATCTTCATTTGAACCTATATATGAAGGTAGCAATTTTAGAGATAATGGTGCTCATCTTCTTGAACCAAATAATTAAGAGTTCTTAAAATTTGCTACCATGTATGATTTTTATCAAATGGATACTGGTATCAAAGATATAGACAATGTTGGTTAAGTAGTAAGAACTTTGGATGAATCAAAAATCAAAAGAAAAAGAGTCATCTATTATAATCCATAAACTGAATATTCTACTTAATATTACAATTATCCTTATGGAAAAGATATTAATGTTACTGGTGGTTATGGTTATGCATTCCAACCTGATTTAATAGCTAATTTCTAAAAGTAATTATACTTATTTGATTTTGATATTCATAAGAACCTTAAATTAAATTATCATGAAACTACTACTTATAAAGGCTATGATGTAATCAAATATAAAGTAGAAAGTCAAATGATTTCATTAGAACCATATACAGATCTACCTATCTTTTTGACAATTGGTTAATAATCAATTGATGGTTGTGTTTAAATTAATGGGTCTTCTTGTAATTAATATATGACTTATGTTCCTGAATCATCTTATATTATTGAAGCTATTACTGGTAAAGTTGTTTCATTTACGAAAACATATATCTATTGGTTAAAAATAGATAATAAAAGTCCATTACAATAAGAACCTTTAAATGATGAAATAATTGTTCCCCTACTCCAAAGATCTATTACTTATGATTTTACAGAAGATTAGATGAATGAACACTTCTAAGATGTGAAAGATCTTTAAAAACATAAGGATACAATTTTCTATGTAACATTAACATTTGGACTCATCTTTTGTTTAGCATTTATTGGATTCATCATCTATTTCAGAAAGAATGAACCAAATATTCATTCTAGAGCACCATCAGTATATTCAGTTGTTGCTGAAGAATGATAAGAAAATTATAAATATTATATATGTTTTTAAAATGAATATTTTATCACTTTGATATTTAAAAGATTTCCATTTAAACAATATCAAAATCTTCTTAATTGGCTAAGTGACTCTTTAAATTTCCAATTTAATATTCTGGATTTACTATAAACCCATCTCCCAAATTTGATGAGCATCCAATAAATGAAGACTTTATTAGTATATCTTTTTGTCCAAAAGTCATTAATATATCAGTTTAATTTTGGTTGTAATTAATTGTTAAAGCAGTAATGCTTGATTTTATTGGGAATTCCTATCTTTTATTTTAATGAAATATTTATGATGAAGTTTAAGAAAAATATACTCCAAACGTTTATTAAGAGGAAGTTTAAAATATAAAGAGCAATGTCTATAAATTTAATTAACCCAAATTATTGATTTTTTAAGTTACTTACTATGCATTCAATCCGTCATATTTTGATGAGTAAATCCTTTGGATTTTATCCTAAAAATTGTTTGGTTCTTTAAATATAGGATTTATTTTGGTTATCAACTCATCCATGTAAGAAGTACTTAATTCAGATTATCTCAAATTAAGTGTACAAAAGGTTTCTTCCATATTCTTAAGTTCCTATAATATTTTATCTAGTCCTTAATCCAATTTAAACTTAAAGAGTCTAATACATTTATAAAAAACTATACCTTAATTATTATTCTTTACTAGCTAGATTCTTTTTACTTTCATTTATTGAATCAAATAATCTTTAATATTATTCTGAATTTTTTTAATATTATTCTGAATTTCTTTAATATTATTCTGAATTAGTTTATTTATTCAAAGAGTGCAAATTGTCCACATAGGTATTAACATCCTTTCTTAATTTCTACTTATCTTTTGTAGTAATGTTACCGAATTTTTCTTATGCCTCATTTAAACTATTTTTAAGATTCTCAGTTTCGAAGTACTATAACTTATTTTTTAATTCTTACCTAAGCAAATTTTTCTCCAATACGATCAAAATTACTCTTAGTTTCTTAAAATTTTTCACATTTTTCTATTAACTTTTTTTCTAATTTATCAAGATAATAGAGAAAATTTAGTCTGATTTCATTTATTTTCTATCAAAATTAATAAATATATTACAAATTGGATTGCATCTTTATCAAATGAAAAATCATAAGAATGTAAAAAATCACTAAAAATTTAATTAACATTATCTTAATAATTTGTAAACTTTAAAGCATTCAAAGGGTTATCCATAACCTAAAATATAATATAATTTTACATCAGATATTAGACAAATTTCATTGGTTTATTAATTAAACTTACCCTCAATACACTTTCTACAAAGAAGTCTTGATCTAAGATCAGTTTTTTGTTTCAAAAGTATAAATTAAACTAATTCACCTTTATGATTAAAGTCTTCACATTCAATATTAAATTGTATTCTTTCTTTTGGTTCATAATTCATTTAGTGTTCAGATGCTTCCATACAATTATTTTGTTTATTTAATTATTTTAATAGAATTACAAAATAAAAGTATTTATAATTTAAAATTATAGAGTAAATTCAATACTGTTAACTATTATTATATTCTTCATAAGTATTCCTCTCAAGAGCAAGTGAGTTATTCTCTATTATTTTGCATTTTGCTCTAAATATTACAAAGTTATCTTCATCATCCTATTTTATTTTCATTAAATAAACATCTTCTCCCATTTCAAAATTATGTACACGATTAGCTGGTGTATGATCGGTATCATCATTAACAAAATAAATATTATCAGCATTTTCTGCCTTGACTATATTTAAAAAGTTTTGACATTCCTTATCTTTACCTGTACAATTATAAAATAAAGTTTGATTTTAAAATGTATGAGCAGGAATAGCAAAATTAGATTCTTAACTAAATAAAGAGGTTTGATTCCTCTAAGATAATTTTGGACCCAAAAAATCATATCTCTAATTTGATAATTATGATAAAGCAATTGGTTTTGGATTGTATTCTTAATTATTATTGATAATAGACAAAATGCATGTTATAGTTAAAAGAGAAAGTAATCCATAATTCATCATTTTAGATTTTGTTATTACATTTATTCTAGATATTTAAATTTCATCATCTTATACACAATGTATACATTTATATTATTAACTAATATTATTTTTTATAATTTACTTGATTTCCTCTAAATATTGAACTCTTAATCTTAAATGATTATTTTCTTCATTTAATAATTAAATTTACTCATCTTTCTTTTTTAAAACATTATAATAATCCTTATTTTCTTGTACTAGATTATCATAAATAATTTTTTTCTTATCTCTTGATAATTGAGCCGAATTTCTATTTCTTAATTTCCTTAATTCATCTTTGGACATAGTTTAAACAACTTCTGTTTTAACTTTTTATTTTTTTTCAATTCTCTTTTTTAAAATCCTTTACTTTCTTTCATCCTTAAATTTTTATTCCAAATCTTCTGTAGATTTGCTATGTTCTGGAGTAGGAAGGTTATCAAAAATATTTGTATGAAACAAAATATCTTCACAATCTAAGGGTTAATCATAGTCTTCTTAATCAATAAAATTCATTTCTATATTGGTTATTAATAATTATAAAATAATAAAAATTATAAAACATTGTAAATAAAAAATAAAAGTGGAAACATTATTTTAAATATGTTATATCAATACTAAAATCCCATTATAATGATTTAAAATTAGATTTTTCCAATTTTCGAGATTAAATGATATAATTTTCTATTAAAATATAATATCAATTAATTTTAACATTATAAGGTATAGAGTGTTATTTTCAATATTCTATTAAAATTATTTTAATATATATATTGTTTGATAAAATTATTTAACTAATTATAGGGATTTTTTTTTAATATAAAAAATTCTAATAGAAATATATAAAAATGTGTAATTTTACATGAAAATAAAAAAACAAAATGGAATAACATACATTAATATTAATTTTCTTAACTTTGGATTAAGATTTTTAAAAAAACGTTCTCTTAAATCTTCATAATTCCCTTTGATAAAAATATGTTTTAATGAAAACTTGTTAAATTTTGATTTCATGATTGTGAAGTTTCTATTTTCTGTATCAAGGCATAATATTGGATTCTTATTATTTATAAATAGCAAATAAATAATATTTTGATTCTATTTCAAGGTTTTCAAAAATTAATTCTAAATCAATAAGAACAAGTCTTTCTCCTATTCCAAAATCTACTAATCATCTATAATTGATATTAATTATCAAGAGTATTTGGATATAGTTTCATTAGTTTTTAATAAATCATCTCTTTAATTGAAACTGTATCAATAAGCTTTGTTCATTTATTAAATTTAACAGAAACATATTAATTATGGGAACCTCTCAATCATCATTGATGTTGGGTTAACCTCTCAAATACACTAAAATGGGAACTCATTACCCAGGTAGTATTTTAGAGAGAAAAATATTGTTAACAGATGAACAAGTCAACACACTTACTAATTTTATTAGACTCAAAGAAAAGATTATGAGATAACCAATTTTTCTTAAAATTCATGCTATACAGAAAGATGACTCTAGTATCTTTTGCAATTCCAATAACACAATTAAAATCTATACAGAATTTAGTGAGATAGATTTATCAAATGAAATAAGAAGAAGACGTATTGCCTCTTAAAATTTTACTAACCAAGAACTTTTATACAACTTAAAACAATTAATTGAAGCCATGGCAATTTATTAAACGTACAATATTCAATATAATTTATCCTCTAACACATTGCTTTTTGATAAAATGATAAAAATTATGGATCCATATATATTTGATGTTAAATCACCTCAATTACCTCACTATAAAGATCAATTAGGTTCTGTATATTCATCATGGCCGATAGGAATTATATTATTAGAAATGATTACACTTAATCTAATGACAAACTTAGTTAATATAGATGGAACTTTAAATACTCATCTTTTAAGTAATTTATTAGAATAAATCAATGAACCATTTTTAAAGTAATGCTTATTATGCATTTTTGGTGGAATATAAAGACCTAATTATATTCAATTAAGAGATGATTTAAATGGATAAATTATAAGATTAATGCCAACTTTCTAATTGTAACCAGAAAATATATAACATCCAACTAATTTCTCTATTTAAGAATAATCAAAATATTATGAAGCTATATCTCAATAATAATTAATAATCAAAACATAATCTAACTAACCAATTCCACTTATTCCATTAGCTTAATCTAATTTAGTTATCAATTTAAATACTGTATCTTAAAAAAAGGAGAATATAATACCTATATCTACTAATAGATCTAATAATTAAAGTGTTTTACAAGAAAAAATAGAATAAATCAGAGCCACTTATTTTAATCACAAAAATTAATAGTAACCATCATAATTATATTTGTATCGTAAAAGTCCTGAAAAATAATCAGAAACATCATCAACTGGATCAGAAGATTTGAAATCTTATTCTAATGGTTTGTAAATAGATTTATAATCTGATCCATTTTGTAAAGAAAGAGAATCAGATATCAATACATTATCAAAATAATTTAATTTCTAAAATGAAGAATATATTTGTGAAACTTATCTAGATGGCTCTATTTATGAAGGATTTAAAAGGAATTAAAAAAAAAATGGATAAGGAAGTATTTATTATAGTGATGGAGGTTTCTATATTGGATAATGGTAAAATGATGTTATGAATGGATATGGTTCATTATATTATCCTTCAGGTAAATTAGCATATTAAGGATGTTGGGTTAATGGAAAGTTTTAAGGAAAGGGAATGTTATTCAATGAAAATCCTAAAGATTGTCAAGATATCAATTATGAAGATTTAACAACTATTGGTGATTGTTGGATTAGTTATTCAGGAGACTTTATTTGTGATTAGAAATAAGGAAAAGGTGTATTAATTTTTACAAATGGAGATAGGTATATCTATATAATTTATTGTAGATTTGAAGGACAATTTAAAGAGAATATGATTAATGGACCTGGTACTTTTAAATCAGGAAACAAAGTAATTTCTAGTATTTGGTCTAAAAATTTGATTTTGTGACTTTTATCATTTAATATTTAATTTATTAATATATTGATAAATACTTCATTTAAATTCTTATAAATTTAAACCTTATTATTTTATTTTTTGATTAATTTATAAAAAATCAAATATATCAAATAATTTCTATTAATTTACAGGATACTTTTCATTTAGACTCTTCTAGAAAGATTTTAAAGGCTATAAGAAGAGGCTTTTTACTATTATTTTCTTAAGCTATTTTTCTGTCTAAAACAGCTAGGATTTTTTACCATTTCTATTTATCAATATCCTCCATTTTGATCTCATTTAATCTCTTTAACTATTCAGTATATATTTATATCCAATTTTCCTTTAATTATTCAAATTTTTATTCAGCATCTGCATTACCTTATAATTTTAGTAATTATAAATACTTTTCACTTTTAAAAACTTATTTTATTATGCATCACTGAATAATTCATGTTCCATACATAATATAGAAAATCTATCAAAAGAAAGATTTTTTTCATCATCTTCTAATAAATCAGCATATTCTTCAAAAATCTCTTCAAATTTATCTTCATCAAATTTATCTGGTTCAATATGTCTAATTAAAAGAAGCCATTCATCTAAATTACACATTCCATTTCCATCAAGATCACATGCTGCAAATGCATTAATTACATATAATTTAGTTTTTTCAACATTATTTCTAAATATTGTTAATACTCTTATCATAAGTAAATCAAAATCAACTATTCCTGCTTTATTTATATTTTTTGGATCATTTTCTTTTTAATTTTCTAAATCTTATTTTAAATAATTTAACTCCTCTTATGTAAAATTGAAATTTTATAATTATCCCAAATATGCTAATGCTCTAACATATGGAATATAATGTTTTTATTCCTATTCATTGTCTTTAATAGCAATACCAAGATTTTAAATATTCTAAACATATTCTAAAGCCTCTAAATATCTTTATAATTCTTCAACTCTATAATTTGATTTCTCTTCCAATAAATTCATAAATTTAGCAAACATATTAACTCTTACAATTTGTATATATTTCTTAATTGATAATACAAGAATCATGAATCTCTATTCAGTAACTTTTGTATATCCAAATTACTATAAATAATAATTATAAATATAAGCTGACATATCTTAATCTCTAAGTAATTTATTTTCTTTTTAATTTGTTATTTTTTCTAAATAGAATGTACTTATCATTTTTAAAACAAGTTTAAGTGGTAAGAAATTACTAAATTTCCCCATTGTTTTAGATTTGATCTTCTCAATAAGTTATTTTGATTAATTTTTTTAAAAATCATAGCTAATTGTCACCTATATATAGAATTATATTAATTTACCTTTTATCCCAATTAAGGTGCTGTCTTTTTATTTTTCCTTTGAGCTAAAGTATTAACTTTTTAATTTTATGGTTTCTTATCTTATTATGAAAGTACTTAATTGAGATCCATAGCATCAGACATAATTTAATTTTCTAAATCAGATACTTTAATATGGAGATTAGTAATTTAATCAATTAATTTAGAATTCTAATCTTTTAGCTCTTTATTTTATAATAGTAAATTATTATTAATCATTTTTAAATCTTCTATTGTAGAATTACTTTCTTTAATATTATTTTCTAATTATAATAATTTAATTCCTTAAAATTTGATAAAGGTGAGCATAGATTTTACTTTAGAATTATTGATGGATGTCTATTAATTTTATATAGGTTATTTGTCAAAAATGATAGAAGCACGTTTCATATTTGTTCTCATAGAAGGTTACCTAACAAGAGAGGGTGTACTTTATTGAATTCCAGATTAAGATATTTATTAATCTACAAATTTTATAATTTCTTCTTCACTTAATTTATCAATAGTATTGATATTCAGAAATTAAATATTTGCTTAAGTTAAATCAGATTCTGTTTTATCTTTTGGAATATTTAAAAATTCAATAAAATTAATAGCTTATTCACAAATATCTTAGGTTAAATCATCAAATTTTTTATCTGTCAAATTTAATTATGTTTAAACTTCTTTTATTGTTGTGTAATTAATAATAAGATCTTATCCTACTTATGATTCTTTTTCTCTGGTTTCAACAATTCTTTCTGTATTAAATTCAATTTAATTTAATTCTTTTTCTTCTTCATCTTCTTATTCTGTAATAGAAAGGGAAGAGTCTTCTTATTATTCTTCGATTAAAGGAGTGAATTTGTTTTCTTTATTTGAAGTTGTATTACCTTATTGACTTAAATTAGAATTAGATCCAATTTATTAACTTTAAAATATTGAATATCTCATTTATTAGGTAGATTATCTATGATCTTTGAGTGCTTTATTTTCTAAATAATCAAGTTTTCTTTATAATTATAGTACTTCATATCCTAATTCTTTAATTTTTCTGTTTTTTATAAGGATTTCATTTTACTTTTATTCAAGTTAATGTTTTTATTAATTTATTTTGGTTTGTAAATCTTTAATATCATTATCATTTTTTTAAATAAGATTTGATTGATTCATATTTTAAGATTTTAATGAGACTAATTATTTTTCCATATCTTCATGTGCCCAAACATGATTATTATTCATTCTAATTATTTCATCTATTTTTTATATTTCTAATTATTTTTCTTGTAAGGTTAATTAATATTTTTAATCTGATATTTAATAATTTAGTTCTCTCATAAAAGTGTCAAATAAATTAGCCATTTCTCTGCATTCTTCAGTAAAAAAATCTCTTATATATTACTCTATTTTTAATAATAATTCTGCTCTATTATTTTAATTTATTTATTGCATAAACAGTTTTTCTGCTTATTTAGTTTATATACGTTTAGATCCATTGCTTTTTTGATGTAAGATCTTCTCACAAGTATTAAAAAGGAGGTATTTATTAGGTGGAGAATTATGAGTTGTTTTTATTTAATTTCTAAAAGAAGGAAAACTATCAATGGACTGTATTAAAGAATCACATTACATCTATTAAGACTTATTTCTTTAATGAATGAAATTTTAAGTTCCTTTTTAAGAGATAGTAATTTACTTTATCTTTTTTTACATTAATCATAAAAATCATTCATTATTTTTTATGTGTCAATTGATTTAGGAAGATCGGTATGAGATGTTTTAATTCTGTTTTCTGATTTGATAGAATATTATTTGCTAGAGTTTTTAGTATGTAAAAATGGCTACTAAGCTTTTGTGTTGTTATTATTTCTTACTTCATTCATGAAAAGTAATTATTTTAAATAGTTTAATTATCAAATGGCACTAAATAAGAGAAAGTTAATTTAAATAATTAAAAATATGATTAATTCATTTTAAGAGGGAGATCACACTAGCAGCATCTATATTGTGTATTGATGCAATATGCTTTTTTATGAAAGTCTTATCCATATTAGTTTTGTTTCTAATAGCTATTTTTTTGAAATTATAATTTGTAGGTCTTTTTGGATTCAAATATGTAGTCAATAATTTTTACATTGTAGAACTATTATTAAGATTAGAATTGAAATCTATTGAATCATTATATTTTCTATTTTTCATTGATTTACTTCTTGTAGGAGTAGTTGATGTAATCATTTAAGGTTATTAAGGTATTTTATTTTATGAAAAATATCTACCTCTAATAGGACTTTTAGGTTCATTTGGAACTATTTTCTCAACATGATTTTCAGGTAAAGTTTTAACACGATTTTGCCATTGTTTATTTTTATTAAGATACTAATTCTATTATTATAATGATTAACTTATGAGTATTTAATTTTAGATATCTACTTATGAATGATACTATTATGGTTGAGTATGTTATTTTATAGAAGATCTAGATTTCCTTACTTATTTCATTTCAATACCATTATTTACAGGTTTGAATTATGTTTGATATTGATGAGGAAATCTTGTATTACTTTTTAGAGTTGATGGAATATGATCTTCCTAAATTAATTATCTTATATATTGCTATTTTTAATAATTTATATCTAATTTATATAAGATTTCTCTATATTTTTTTCTATCAAATTTTATATTCTCTGGTAAATCAATTTTTATTTAACCTTAATATGTTAATTCAGATTCAGATCCTCTAAATTCATTTAATAATGTATGAGAAAAGGCTTCATCAATTGTCATTCTTTTTGATGGATTCCAAGTAAGACATTTTTATATAAAATCTATAATATCATCTTATGTTTTTATAAATGATGATAAAGGTCTTTTTCTTGAATTTTAAATTTCTCTAAATATTTTATCAGCCAAAGGAGCATTTATTTAATTTAGATCTTCTTATGAAGGTCTACCTATTACTTCTATAATTTTTTCTAATTAATTTAAAGTTGATTATCCTGCAAAAATTGATTTACACACTATCATTTCTGCCAAAATACATCCTACACTCCACATATCTACAGCCTATGAATAAAGTGAAGATCCCAACAAAATTTCAGGGGCTCTGTACCATCTTGTTGCTACATATTCAGTCATTACAGTAGTTGCATCTATTTCATTTGCCAATCTTGCTAATCCAAAATCAGCTAACTTTATTCTGCAATCTTAATCTATCAATATATTTGAAGGCTTTAAATCTCTATGAATCAGTCCTCCTGAATGAATATATTTTAAGCATTTAAGTAATTAGTAGAGTATATAAATAATGTGTTATATTTATAGGAGATTTGCACGGATAACCTTATTTAAAAGATATTATACTTTATGAAGATCTGATTCTATATATTCAAATGTCATGTAAAGATCTTTCATATTCAAAGCTCTATGTACACGCAGTAATTTCACAATATTTTCATGTTATGTTAATTGCTATAGATACATCACTTCCCTATATGTTCTCTGTGCATCTGTATCATTTGAAAATGCATCAAAAACCTTTAATATATTTATTCACAAAAACCTTTTTCAAAGCAACAATTTTCTTTGTTTATTTATCTATAGCCTTCCAAATTATTCCATAGGCTCCTTTGCCTTTGAACTCTATTATTTAATAATATTTGGAGATGTTTTCATCTATTGAAGATGTTTCATCGTTGCTATTCAGTTATTACATGTATATATTTATATATAAATTTATTCATATTTCAAAATATAATTAACTTCTTTTAAGTATCTCCTACTATTATGATTATTTAATCAATAATACATTTATTATTAACTAAATAATCAATTATTAACATAATCTTGATGAATGTTTCTGTTTATATTTATTCTTATAGAATTAATCTTCATAAAATTCATTTTTATTTAGATTATACAAAAATATATCAAATAATTGATAATTAAAAGCATAATCATTAATTTATAATATGAATGACCATTATTTTTATTCATTATATAAATTGAGTTTATTTTAATAATAATTTGATAAATTTATGTATGAATCATTTTTATTACTTTTATTAATATTTACTGAGATGTCCAAGAGATTTTATTTGATAAGAATAAATTTTGATTCTTAAGAATAATTTAATCATATATTATCGTATATATATATTAATTAATTTTAAATCATAATTATTATCATTATTACATATCCAAATCTAATTTTTTGGGTAAATAAACTCCTTTTTTTAACAATTAAAATATTTGTAAACTATGAAATGGTTTCGTGCTTTTTTAATCTATGATTTTGAGATTTCTTCATTTTACTTATAAATGAGTAGAGATATTGAATTTGATAATGAATGGTAGGCTCTTCTTAAAGAAATAAAACTATAAATGCAAATCTAGAATGTTCTTGAGGACAAATTACTATAAATGATAACAAAATTTGGGACAGTTAGAGGTAAATTTGATATCTTCAAAAGTAATACAAGTACTTTTCATATATAGATCGAGTATTAATTTTAATTTCCAATTAACAGGTACAAGAAATACATTAAAATGAACTATTACTCTAAATTTACTCTCATCTTTTTGAAATTATTCATTATTAGAATGTATTAGTAATATTTATTTCATAGATCAATATCACTGAACTTGAACTATAATAAAAGTATGAAATTGAAAAAATCATTAAAAAATATGAAGAAAAATTAATGATACCAAAATATGTTCCTTCCAGTTTGTCATATATAAATTAATTGGATAATAATCAAGAAAAAAATTTAAACTTAAAATAGTTTACATGTTTAACTGAAGAAAACATTGAAAAACAAACTTAATAGAAATTATATACATAAGATGATGATTAAAAAGTTTTTAAAGGATTTGTAATGTATGATTTCAAAAAATAATACTTTCTAATGTTAATAAGAAAAGGATTTAATAGTGATAAAGTTTGGATTGAAGAAAGAAGCAAAATTGAAAAATTTATTATGAGTAGACAAATGTAATTGGATATAACTATATCTATGTCTACATAATTTGCTTAATATATGATAGAATATGATAATTAAACAAGTAATATATATGATTTAATGATAGAGTTTTATTTTATTTTGTTATCTAATAATCGAATTCCACATTCACCTTAATTTGAATTGATTTAAAGAATTAGAGGTCTCCTTTAAAGTGAATCAAATTTATAAAAAGTAACAAAATAATATTAATAGCAGTAAAGGAAAAATGAGATTGAAAGCAAATACTTATGTATAGTTAGTGATATCATTGATGCTTAAGAAAGAATTTACACTAAAGCAAAAAATCGACAATTTAATCAATCTATTGCTTCTATTATTTAATCAAAAAATAATATCTATGAGGAGAAAAAGTATCATTCATTATAATAGTTTTGAAATGATATTTTTGAATTAAATATTTTAAATAATTAATTTATTCTTCAAAAAAAATAATTGATCATCTAAAATTGTATTAAATCACTTTATTTATGTTTTAATCATTCTATTACTTTTGTTTTTTTCTTTTATATAAGCTTATTGTTTAAAAAGTAAATATAATTTTTTTTATCTTTGAAATTAAATGGATTCATTTTTTAATATTAATATTCAAATTGCTAAATATTTCATATGATTAAATAATTATAATCTTCTAAAAATGATCACATTATTGAACCATACTCAATTAACGATTTAATGAATTTATCTAATCCATAATTACAGATTTTTTTTATCTTTTTGAATTAACCTACCATAATAAATAAAGATTTTGCATTTCATAGTATTATTTTTCAATTAAATTATTCTAAGCAAGAAAAAATTATATAAAATAAAAAATTTTTTTAGATTCAGATAAATATTGAGTAAAATAATTAACCTTTTATTGATGTCAATTACTTTAAATTTTATTAAAAATATAAATTATTTTACAATTTTATTAGGTGTAGAAATATATTATCTTTTATTAAAATGAAATTCTCAATAATAACTTTAATATCAATATAGTAATGCATATTTTCTTTTAATATTTCAAAATTTCACTTTGAAATATGAAAATATCTTTTCAATTTGATATTTTGAATTCATAAATTTATAATTAAAAAACTGATAAGCATTTAAAACTTATTTTTGTGAACAAAACAATTAATAATTAATTTAAATAAAATATCTTTATTTTATTTTAATTAATATTAGATAATTAATTTCTTAATATTTTTTAATTAAATATAATTGTCAAACATTCTATTTTATATTATTTTATTCATACTCTAACTATTTATATTATTCAAATTAATCTATTGATTCCAAAATATTAATAAAAATAATTAATAGCTATAATAATACGTTACACTATAATACTAAATAAGAAGAAGGGGCAAAAATATATAATCAAAAATCTAACCTTAATAAAAATTTAAAAGATATATTTTATCAGATAATTTAAATTTTAAGATTAACATATTTATTATTTAATAAGTTAAAATTAGTTGTGATTGTGCTTTATATTAAGTTTTAATTTTCTATAGAATAATTATTACAAAATTTTATTTTATACAAATTTTGTTTACAATGAGGTTTTCTTGAAATTACAAGTTTACTTAATAACTTCAGTTAAATTTGATCAAAATTATAGAATAATTTTGTAAATTTAGTATTTTTTAAATATTACAAGAGTATTGTTATCAAAGTGTCTGAAAATATTGAAAGTTGAAAAATTAATAAAATATTAATAATTATAAAGAAAATCAGATAAATGTAGTAAAGAGCATCATCTAACTAAAAGATTTTTAACAATTAATACTAAATAGTAAAAAAGCTGTCTTCCGGTTCATTTGGGGTAGTTTTTTTAGGATTTGACCTTTTAACTAGATAAGAGGTAGCAATTAAGGTTGAAAAAGAAGAAAATGAAGAAGTACGATCATTAGATAGAGAAGTTTTGATTCTTAAGAAATTAGATGGAGCAGAAGGGTTTCCAAAATATTTTTGGTCAGGTGAAGATCAAAGCTACAATGTTTTAGTTATTTAATTATTGGGAAAGGATTTGTCCTACCATTTTAAGTAATTAAAAAAATTCTCTTTGAAAACTGTTCTTACTCTAGGAATTCAAGCAGTATAAATTTTAGAGAGATCTCATTAAAAAGGTGTGATTCATAGAGATCTGAAACCTGAAAATATCATATTAGGAATAGGTAAAGATATTTTAAAGTTATATTTAATTGATTTTGGTATAAGCAAAATTTATAGAGATTCAAATGGAAAGCATATGTAAAAATAATTAATTTATTTTCTAATTTTAGTTCATTTAAAGATTAAAAATCATTCTTAGGTACAACTCGATATGCTTCTATAGCAGCACATTTGGGACATGAATTAGGACGTAAAGATGATTTAGAATCTTTGATGTATATTCTGTTATATTTTTTACGTGGGTAATTAATCATATATTAAATAAGTCAGTTACCTTGGTAAAATATGGTTAATGTAACAGATGATGAAAGAACAAAGAAAGTTGGAGAAATGAAATTATCTATGGAACGTGAAGTATTTAAAGATTAATCTAATGAAATTTAACGTATTTTTGAGTATTCATTAAATTTCACATTTTAGTTACATAAGAAAACTATAATTTAAATAAGAACCAAATTACAAAATGATAGTATAAGAATTTAAAAGAGCAGCTGGATCTTCAAATATTACAATTGATGGTAATTTTGATTGGACAGAGATTAAATAATCTACACATTATTAGACAGATTCTAATCAAAATTAGAGTCGAAATAATATACCTAATAATTCTAATGAAATGAAAAAGTCTATTGAAAATCAACTTTCAGGACTTATTTAACCTAGGTATAATAATTAAATACATATAAGTTAAAATAATTTATTGGCACCTCCTCCTTTAAGTTCTACTCGAGGAACTTTCCAACGAGATGATATTAGAAAGAGTTCTAGTGTTACACAATAAAGTAGTATAAATTATTGTTAATCTCTCAATCCAAATTACTAAAAATCAATATGTGAAGAACCTCTTTAAGAAGAGGATTATTATTATGATTTCAATAGTGTAGAAATATGTGAAAATTATAATACAGACTCTTGTTTGTATAACAAATATAACAAAATTAAACTGGGAATTTTTGTGTAAATTTATTTTTTATTAATTTAGACATTTTCTCCCTAAATAAATAAATCTTAAATGAATTTATCTATTTTATATAACTTAATCATCTTAAATTTATTTTTATATAAATCAATTGATTTTTTGAATCATTAAAAATATGATTCTTTTATCTTTCCAAAATTTTTTAGTTTAATATTATTACAAATAATTATAAATTATAATAAATTACATGATTTATCATTTTTTTTCAATTAATGGTAAACTCAATTAATTACGAGCACTTTTTGGTGATAATTATCTTGCTTTCTTTATATTATCTACAACAAAGTTTCTACTCAAAGTCATTGACATTTGAACTTAAGATTATTATTATTTATTATCAACTAATGATTATTTTATCTAAGGAGGTATATATCTTGGTAGAACTCCTCTTATAGAATATGACCTAAATTTTATTTAAATTAATTACCAATACATATCTTCAGTCTAAATTACCAATTTACCCTTTCTAATTTTTCCATATTCAACTGGTGTAAAACTAATAATAAATGTAGTTCCTTCCCTACCATAAGGTTCTAGATCTCCAATTTTAGGAATAACAGAAAATTCAGCATCTGATTCAGGAGAAAAGGCTGCAGTGAATTTACTATAGTTTTTTGTTTTATTTGTTAATTTAAATGAGACACTTGTTGTTTTATTTAGAGGAGAACTAATTAAAATAGTATCATCTTCTTCAGGTTCAGTGGCCTCTAGTTGTATTTTATATTTCCATCTTCCTCCAGATTATCTGAGTACTATAAACTCCATAGAAGTCTTAAATGGTTTCATTGGTTAAAATCTTACAAAATAGAGTAAATTATCATGAGGACTATCAAGATGATTTTTTAGACATTTAATAGTAAAACATTTTTAAATCATAGTCTATAAATCTAATGGCATCCCACCCAATTCATAATCAAATTTATCATCTGCTTACAAACTTTATGCAATTCCTTACAAACCTACTTTAATTTCATCTTCCCATTTTTCTCTGCATTTTGCTTTGAAATGGAATAGAGTCTATGTAGAGACAGATTCAGTGACTCCTTTAACAGGGAAATGCCATTAAATCTTCTCATTCATTGAGATAACAACTTCACAATAATAACTTGTAATTTCTCTAGGTACAAATGAGAATGGAACTTGAAGGACATTCATACCTGGAACAAGAGTTTTATCAGTTTTTTGATTTCTAACAAGCAATAACTTAAAAACTTCTTAATTATGACCTTCAGCATCTAATGAAATAGAAACTTAAATAGGTTCTTTAAATGGATTTTTAAAATGAATAACTGAACTATAGTCTTTATTTAATCCAATACTAACAGTAGTTGCTGGGAATTTAGTAGGAGGTAATCCACTTCCAAAAACTAAATAATGCCATTTTCCAATAGGTGAAGTAAATATAATATCTGATTATTCTATGATATCTAATGAAGATGGAGTATATCTCAAGGCAACCTTTAAAGAATCATAAGGTTGTATTTTGAGATCATCTGGATATATATCAAAATTAGTAGGGTTAGTAATTCTGCATTAGACTTAGATCTTTTAATCAGATGGATTTTCAAGTATGACAACCTATTATTCAACTTTACCTAATGAAGCTTTTAATACATTTAATCTAACAATTGGTTGATCTTCACATGTAAGTATGAATTCATACCAGACTTCACCCAATAATCTATTTACAAATGCAACACTACCTCTCCATCTACCTATTTTTAATGGAGCAAAAGTTAATTCATATCCAGCTTCTTTTCTAGCTCCAATAGCAAATTGTTCTTCACCTATTAAACCATCTCCATTTATCATAACTTCATAAATTGCAGTTTCTGTAAGAGGATTAGCAAGTGTTAATTGAATAACTGTAGCTTATCTAATTAAACAAGACACTTCAAGTGTTTGAACTGATTTAGGAGATTCTGTATTCATAAATACAGTGTACCATAAATAATGTCCTTATTCATCTGTAAATGTTATTGATCCAGTATATTAACCACTTAAGACTGGTTATACTTATAAAACATAAGTTGCTTTCTTTTATGGTTAAACAACTATTTATGATGGTCCAGATGCATATATTAAATCTGTTTCTACAGAATAAGTAATAATTTTATCTGTTGGATTTTTTAATTCAATTTCTTTCTTAGTTAATTTTCTAGCTTAACAATTTAGAATTATATGTTCTTCTGCTACTGGTTCTTCACCATAACCTTTTAGATCATATTCAAAAACATCATTAGTTGTTGGATTTGTTAATACTAATTTAGCATCACACTCTTTTAACCAAGATGGACTAAAAGTAATTGGAAAATTATTAGAAGATTTTCTTTTTACAAAAAAGTCTCTTTAAGGACATGAGAATAACCCTTTTGATTCTGAAAGTTGTACTTTTATTTACCAATCTCTATCAGTTTGATTTACTATAGGAATATCTTATGTTATAGATTATCTTGCAGGAACTCTAAATTCTAACATAGCTTTAACAACCTTTGGTAACACTATTGCTGATAATTTATATCTTCTAATATCAAATTTATTTTTTAATGTTAAAATGACACTAAAGTCTTTTGTTGCATTTTTAAAAGCATAGATAATTGGTAATTTACAATCAATATTTTCAGTACCTGGTTTCTTTGTTTATTTATTTAAATCAGTTATTTAGAGTGTAGGAGGAAGATTAAGGTATTGTGTTTGTGGATAAATTTCTATTTCAAATGTAATTATATCTAAATTAGAACCAGGAAAATTAAGTTTAGATGCTGTTAAAGTTGAGGCCTATTTATCACCTTTTAAATATCTATCTTTCTATTTCATCTAAACCAATTATTAAATCTAACTACGAGCACGAGCTAATTATTCATTTCTAAATGGAATCATATAAGAAATTGTTTAAATACTATCAACATATAATTATTTGTCTGGTTTGAATTCACCTATAATATTAGGTAATTCAACTGTTCCTTATAAATCATGTTGAAATTCACCCACATTTGGATCTGTAAATATGAGAGAACATTTATGTGTGTCTATTGTTAATGGAATATATGTCAATGATAAATTAATAGTTTAATTCTTTCTAATTCTTTGTCTATCAATTGTACAGAAAAATGAAGGGAATTCTTCCTCAGGTGGAGCATCTTTTGCTGGAGGAGCTTTCTTCTTTTTCCCTCTTTATTCTATTTACTTTTTCTCATGTATTACCTATATTTAAAATTCACCATCTTATGGAAATTTATTAGTAATTTAAATCTGAAAATCAAATATCTCATATAAGATTGAACTTACATTCCATTATTTTTCAGATTTCCTTCCTGTAATATTACTTTTTAAATCAAATACTAATGCTGCTGCCTAAACATTTGTTTCTTTTTTATTTGTGAAAATCACTCTACCTGTAACAGGCAGAGAAATACGAGAAGTGAATTTCACTTTGTAATTATAAGGTATGTCTGGTTCAATTTTTATACTTTCATCACCTTCCAATTAAAAATCAGGGTGACCCTCATATTTAACAAAATAACTTATTGGTTTTTAAGTTGGATTTCTTAATTCAATTGATTTTATTACTTCCTCTCCCAAAATACATTAGAAAACAATAGGTTCCTTCTAAGGTACATAATGAGGAAGAGAAAAAAACAATTATACTAACATCATTAACATTTCTCTTGGATATGGTTTATGATAGATATCTCTAGCTTAAACATGTGATTGTAAACCATAATCACTTAATGCTGGCATTAATTTATCTGCATTATGTCTATAATCATCCTCACTTTACATATTAGTTCTTAAATTGCTAAAGAATTTCTACATACTAGGACCAATGAATTAAGTAACTGCATCTGATATAAGTAAACTATCCCTGAATTCAGATGCAAAATTACTTATCCTTCTAATCTAACCTGTATGTTGTTGTTCATAACAAACTTCATAGAACCAAAGAATAACACCTTCAGCATGAGATATAACATTAGATCCATCTAAATAATAATCTGGAATATTTAATCTTTCTGTTGGAATTCCTGGTAATTATTTAAATGATTTTGCAGTTATTCTATTTAAATAATATATTTTTATTATTTAATAAAATGTTGAGATCCAAGCATCATAATGTAAATAATTATATTTGGCTTAACTTAATTATAATCTATTATCTGGTACAAATTCATATTTCTCTTTAGGTACAGTCTTTAACCATGCATTATAATCATTATGTCCTAATAAATATTCTGATCTTATGTGATTAAGAAGTGCTCCTTCTATTTTTAGTTGTCTTACTAATTCATCATATTACTTAAATTAAGCTTCTGCTTTTTGTTAACGTTTCCAATTTTAATCAATTTAAGCTTTATATTGGAAATTTGCTTTGCCTGTTAAAAAAGTTAATAATTCAAATATTTGTTATCCAAAACTAGTAACAATATCTTCAGGGAATTTATTAATAGGTTAAGTAAGAACATGATAATTCATCCATCTCATTATATAATCACAAGCTTCATTCTAAGTTTCTGCATCTAAAGGTCTATAACCTAAATGAGAAGTTCCTTTTGAACTTGTTGTACTTTTTACAGACATAGTATGATTTCGTTTCATTTTTTCATTATCACTATCAGCTCCATCATCTTCTTAAAACATAACAGGTTTCTTTTCTTCAGCTATCATTTAATACTTTTGTATTCTTTACAAATAAATCTAATTCGTTAATAAACAATTATCTGTTGTTCCAGATACATATATAGAATACACTCTGCCTTCATCTTAAAATTCTGCTCTAGTTGTAAATGATATTGGTTTTTTATGAGAAAAATAAACATCAACTCTTAATTTACTTTTAGCAACTCCTAATGTTTAACCTTCTGGAAATTTTAATTCTAAATTAAAATTACTTGTCTCACTTGACCAATTATGTTTTAAATTTAAATTTTCATAACCATCATTTATTATTTTGAATGAGCATTTTGAAACTACATTCAGAGGTACTACTGGTAAAATAACTTCTTTTTTATCAAATAATAATCTGGGATATGCTCCTGATCCTTAAATTAATAAATCTACATATGGCAATGTCTTAGGAATATCTGGATCTGATTCAATATAAAGTGAAACAGTTGATTAAAATACTCCTGGTCCATAAGGATTGAATTTTACTCTAATTCTCACTTATTATCCTGAACCAACTATTCCTTCACTAGGTTCTATTGTAAATATCTTTTCAATTTTTAATGGGGAAGTATCAATACGCCATTTAACATCTTTTCTATCTGGATTTGATAATTTAATCTCTTCAACTGTTGGATAACATTTATCAGGAGATGTGATTATTTTTTTTTTAAATTCTATTGATTGAGGTTCAACTAAAAATTTAGGTTTAAGCCCTTTACAAGATACTCTTCTAGTTAATGAAGGTAAATTCTAATTAAATCTTGCTAATGAGATAGGCATATCAAATTGATAATGTTTTACATCTTTAGGAGAGAATTTCATTAAAAAAACTTATGTTTTACCAGGTAAAATGTTCAGATTATAAGATCTATACTCTTTAGTTTCCAAATCAATTTATTCAGATTTATCAGATTGATTATCCAATGATTCATCTAATTTTGGAGCAGGTTCATCTTCATTGTCAGGGTGAATAGAATGTAAAATAGTATCATCTTCATCTTATGGTTTAACCTCTAAACAATCAATTCCATCAGGTGCTTTAGGATTCTCATTTTAATGTCTCAAATCCAAAACTAAATCAACAGGTATTGTTNATTAATAGGTTAAGTAAGAACATGATAATTCATCCATCTCATTATATAATCACAAGCTTCATTCTAAGTTTCTGCATCTAAAGGTCTATAACCTAAATGAGAAGTTCCTTTTGAACTTGTTGTACTTTTTACAGACATAGTATGATTTCGTTTCATTTTTTCATTATCACTATCAGCTCCATCATCTTCTTAAAACATAACAGGTTTCTTTTCTTCAGCTATCATTTAATACTTTTGTATTCTTTACAAATAAATCTAATTCGTTAATAAACAATTATCTGTTGTTCCAGATACATATATAGAATACACTCTGCCTTCATCTTAAAATTCTGCTCTAGTTGTAAATGATATTGGTTTTTTATGAGAAAAATAAACATCAACTCTTAATTTACTTTTAGCAACTCCTAATGTTTAACCTTCTGGAAATTTTAATTCTAAATTAAAATTACTTGTCTCACTTGACCAATTATGTTTTAAATTTAAATTTTCATAACCATCATTTATTATTTTGAATGAGCATTTTGAAACTACATTCAGAGGTACTACTGGTAAAATAACTTCTTTTTTATCAAATAATAATCTGGGATATGCTCCTGATCCTTAAATTAATAAATCTACATATGGCAATGTCTTAGGAATATCTGGATCTGATTCAATATAAAGTGAAACAGTTGATTAAAATACTCCTGGTCCATAAGGATTGAATTTTACTCTAATTCTCACTTATTATCCTGAACCAACTATTCCTTCACTAGGTTCTATTGTAAATATCTTTTCAATTTTTAATGGGGAAGTATCAATACGCCATTTAACATCTTTTCTATCTGGATTTGATAATTTAATCTCTTCAACTGTTGGATAACATTTATCAGGAGATGTGATTATTTTTTTTTTAAATTCTATTGATTGAGGTTCAACTAAAAATTTAGGTTTAAGCCCTTTACAAGATACTCTTCTAGTTAATGAAGGTAAATTCTAATTAAATCTTGCTAATGAGATAGGCATATCAAATTGATAATGTTTTACATCTTTAGGAGAGAATTTCATTAAAAAAACTTATGTTTTACCAGGTAAAATGTTCAGATTATAAGATCTATACTCTTTAGTTTCCAAATCAATTTATTCAGATTTATCAGATTGATTATCCAATGATTCATCTAATTTTGGAGCAGGTTCATCTTCATTGTCAGGGTGAATAGAATGTAAAATAGTATCATCTTCATCTTATGGTTTAACCTCTAAACAATCAATTCCATCAGGTGCTTTAGGATTCTCATTTTAATGTCTCAAATCCAAAACTAAATCAACAGGTATTGTTGAATTATTAACCAAAGTCATTGTTAATTAATTACTTGTACCTAAAGTTGTAATATTTCCGAAATCAAATTCTTCTTCCAAAATTTCAATTTTAGGTATTATAGCTGACCCTATAACAGGTACTTGTAATTATTTGCCTCCTCTAATTAAAATGATTATTTCTCCTTTAACTATTCTTTCATCTTTAGAAAGGAATTTAACTTATAAATCTCTTGAATCTTCTGAACTTATTTTTCCTTTGATAGGATATACTTCAATTCCTTCTGGAAGCTTTGATGTTTAAACTTAAAATACAGCAGAACTTTTAGATAGATTTTTAAGGGTTAAAACTTTAGTTTCTTATTTACATATAACTATTTCTTTAAAATCTATGACAGCTTATTTTATAGTACATTTAGGTTCAGAAACAACTCCCATACATTTGATGCTTTAATCTAATCCATCTTCTGTTTTTAATGTTAATTTTTCTTCTTCATTTCTGATAGTAGCAACTGTTGCCTACTATGAAGGTATAATAGATTATTATTATTATTATTATTATTATTATGGTTATTATTATTATTATTATTATGGTTATTATTATTAACCTTAAGTATTTTTATCTTGTTAAGTACCTATTGGTTATTTCACTTCAGGCAAAGGTTAAAATTAACTTGGTTTGTAAATCACTTAACATTCCAGATATTTACCACTTGGTACAACACCTGATTCAGGTTAGACATAAAAAATCTTTTTTTCAGTAGTTATCCATCTATATTTGGCTTCTGCATTTCCATTATTTGTTAATCGTACAATTTCTGCAGTTTCCATTTCATTATTATCTTCATTAAATGCAAATTTAATTTAAGTTCTATTCATTTCTAAGAAGACTCTCTCAATATTTGCTTAAACTAGAAATTCAAATATATGATTCTCATTTATTACATATTTAAGATGTGTTTTAATTTATCCTAATTATTTTGAACATAAAACAACATCAAATTAAGCAGTCTATCCACTAGGAATGATTTATGGTTTTATATATGATTAATTAAAATCTTCTTTGTCAGTATGTAATCTAACACTAATAGAATTTCTAAGATCATTTCTTACATAAAAGTATTTGATTACTGTACTTTTTATGAAAACATTTCCAAATTCTATTTTAACAGGTCCTGCTTATATTTTTTGTAATTAATCAGCATTTAATTCAGCACTTGTATCTCTAATTTCACTATGTGTTTTAGGTTCAAAAGGGAATTTCTTTTTTTAAATATTTTTAAGGTCAGGTTCAAATGGTTTAAGTTATTTTCCCTCCTTTAATTAATTTTAAATAAGTGGTTCATAATGAAAGATTGGTTTAGTCACAAAAAGAGTCTCATTTGCTTCAGGTAATGCCAATTCCTGTTCATATCCATCATCTTACATTCCAACTGCAAATTCATAATCAATTGGTGGTTCAGGCTTTGGTTCTTCCTCTTGTTCTTATTTCTTAGCAGCTCCAGAAGGTTTAACTGGTTCTTATTTGATTTCCTTCAAACGTTCATTCATTTAAGTAAATTTCTATTTAATTTTTTTATCTTTCATCTACTTTAATCTTTATTCTCTATGCATTTTTAAATATTCATTATAGATTTCTTTATTTAATGATTTTTATTTTAACTCTTCTATTTTATCTAAAGAAATTCCTTATTAAACTAAAGATTAAACAGATTAGGATATATCCAAAGTTTAAACCTTTTCAATTGATTTAATATTACTAATACTTTATTCTTTAGTAATGGTGTGTTTCATTTCAAAATCTTCTGGTAGAGATTCAGGTCCTCTTTTAACTTATTATTTATTTGTAAATTATTAACTCACTCCAGCTAATCTTACAGGTATTTTAAAGATTCCTCCAAGTAATTCAGCACTAATAACAGTTGTGAAATTTCCAGTTTATTTAGGCTTGAAACTTACCCAAAAATTTTACTTTTCTTCAGGTTATAAAATTGACAATGATGGATTCACTGAAAAATAAGGTACTACAGGCCAATGAATTTGTATTGGTAATTCTGTCTATTTGTTAGTTACTTCAAAAACTATTTCTTTACTTTAATTGGCAGGACATACTCCAAATTATAAAATTGCTGTTGGTGGGAATTTTATTGTTGGACAAATGCATCTCACCTATAAATGATTCATTAAAGGTTCATTATCTTAAAAATCAAAAATTGCTGAATAATGAAATTCATCATAATCTGGTTTCAATTATTCAGGTGATAAAGCAAATGTCCTAGTCCAAACTTATTGTTCTTCTGATACTTTTGGTTTACATTTAAAAACTATTCCAATTTATGAATAACTTTCCAAAACCCCTTCTTCTGGATAACATTCCATGATTCTTTCTGTTTATTCAAGACCAAATTCAGCTGGAGTTTACAATTTAAGTGCATCTTCTTATTAATGCAATCCTTTCTTCAATTTCACTTTAAATTTTTATTACTTTGGAGTATTATTTACCAAATATGTTTCAATTTACTTGAATTATCCATAATAAATCTAACCAAAATCAAAAAAATTGTTCTAAACTCCAGTATCGTCAATAAGAAAACGAGTAAATTCTATTGATGTAGCATTTATATCTATTGTTTTCTGTAGACTTTAACCATCTGCTATTACTTCTACTAAACCACGAAAGATACCAGCATCTTTAGGTTTATAAAATACCTTTACTGCAAATTCTTGTCCAGCTCCCAAACTAAAAGTAGTTGGTTCTATTTTGAAGTCTGGCAAACGATCAATTTTTAGTTCTACCTTACCAGTTGATCGACCTTCATTCTTAAAGTATATATTATCTACTTTTTCCTTACCTACTCGTACAAACCCCAAATTAATAAATGGCTCAAATACTATGCTAAATTGAATTTAATATAAAAGAATACGCAGCTTAAGGAGGAAAGGCAAAAAGTGGTACATCAATTGTATAGTTACCATCTGACACAATTTTCAATGAGTCCTAATACTACTCTAAACTGGCTGTTTCAAATGTTACTATCAGTTTCATTGAAAGACCTGCTGCTATAGCTCTATAAGTCATCATAATAAACAAATACCCCTGCATTTCATAATCACATCTGAAGTTAGAATGAGGTTGAAAAACGCGAATTCTTCGAGCAGTCTATGTTAAGTTTCTTACAAAGACAGTAATCTCATAAGTCTAATTTATCTATATATCTTTAAATATGATCTCGCTAGGCACTACTTCGATAGGAGGACCTGTTGACAATTGCTTAATACGAGTCATCGTACTATTGAGACTTTTATTGCTCTAATTCATTATTATTAATAATAATTTGTGTATTCTAAGAATTTGGATAAGAGAAAACAGTCAATAAATGTTTTCCCAGTTAAACACATAAGAATGGAATGATAATAAAATACAAATTGTACAATTTAGAATTAAATATCTCAATTCAATTAGATCTATTTAACATTAAGAGATGCAATTTAAAATATTTGGTTAGATAACCTAATTCATTAATTTTAGATTCAAAATTAAAAAATTAATATTAACTTGGAAAGGGTTAAAATAAACTCAAATATTAATCATTTCGATTGTTTTATAATATTTATTTGATCATTTTCTCTTGATTATTTATTTTTATTATTAATTTATTTATAAATATAAAGTTTGAATTGGCGAGTTAATAAATCATTTCTGTCCATCATCATCTTAATGGTTATCATTATAATTAATTATTTAATTATCTTCTAATATAATACAATTATGATAAAAAGTTATTTAAAATGTTTGTAGTTTTCTATTTTTTTAAAGTGTATATAGATGTGAGTCTAAATAAAAATTGTAAATTAAGGGAAATTTTGGGATAACAATATGATAGTTTATAATCTATCTTTGGAAATAATTCTAAAATTAACATAAAAAAAGTGTTTAATTTTAATAGTTGACAATTTTATATTTTCTTGAAAATGAACATGAATTAAACATTTAGTTTGAGCAATAAGAAAAGCAGCTACTTATCATTGTTTATAAGTAGAGCCAAATAATTAATCTTTACAATTACACTTCAATTACTTAGTGGAGAGCAATAACCAAAAATACTAAATTTTTTTGCCATCTCTATTTAATATTTCTAGCTAACATATCTATTATTTGGAGATAATTTTATGAGAATTTGGAAAAATTATCATGTTTCACAAGAAATTCACAATTTTCTATAGTATAAAATATTTGACAAATATTAGGTGTTTTCTTTTTTCTACTTATACATAAACATTAGATTATTCATCTCTTATGATTATGCATTATGTCTGTGTAGGGACTTTTGTAATAATGATAATGTTAGCTTGTTACATAGGTTTTAATATAAAGAAAAGGAAAGAAGAAAACAGTTGGATACTAATGATATTGAAGATTATAATAAATTTGTTCCTTTCAATTTTATTTCTTCCATTTATTGATTTATTCATATCAATTATAGATTGTCAGAATGATAGTAATGGAAATTATGTACATTATTATTTTCCAAATTAATAATGTTGGAAAAGTGCACATATAATTCATGGAATTATCGCAATTATTATGATTGTATTCTTTTATGGATTTTGTATAATTTTTGGGGTAATTTATTATGAATCAAAATTTATCTCTGAATAAGCCAATTCATAATAAAACGGAAGAATTTCAGGATTTTTATTTACCTATCAATTAATTATAATCATTCTTATAAGACTTATAAAAGATTAAAAATATTAGTATTTGGAAATATTTATAATATTGATAGGAAGTTTAATATTATTTAAAAAATTTCATATTGAATAACCATTTAATTCAAAAATTATATAAAAGTGTTGGTCAATTTCAGTTGCATTGAATTTTTGGGGTATCTTGTTGCTTAGTTGTGCAAAATTTTTAGAGCAATAATATTTTAATGGAATTATATATACTTTTCTTGTTGGATTACCAATACTTGCAGTATCAATTTTAAGAATAGAAAAATAGAATTTTGATCTTCTTTTAATTAACCATACTAAAGTAAAATAGGTGGAAGAGATTATAAATTAGACTAATTATTTAGTAAAATTATTAAATTTACTTAAATTTGATGATAATACTTAAATAATCATTGATGCCTTTTTAGAAATTCATAAAGGAACATGTATATAAAATGATTGTTATTTAAAAATCAAGAATTAAGCAAATATTAAATTAAGTAATACTTTATTAAGAGATTAATCTTTAACAGAAAGAGAGATTGATTTAATATGTGTATTAGGATAGATTTATAATAGTTAAATCAAAAGATTTCCAGAATCAATATAGTTGAGAATACAATATGCATATCATTTATCAGATTATATGAGATAATTATAATAGGCTTATAATGAATTAAAATAAATTGAATAGATGAATTAATAATTTGATGAAGAATTTATAATAATGAGAAAAAGGTCTTAAATTTAAGAATAATTAGATACTTTTCAAAATGATAATTTTGGTAAGGTTGACACTGAAACTGAGATTACATTTCAGTATGATTATCGATAACTACAATAATATATTGAAGAAACAACATTGATCTAAATGGATTTTTGGTCTTAATTATAAGAAGATTTTCCAGATTTTTCAAAGCTTTATAAAAATGGTTAGAAAATAAGTTAACTTATTATTTAAATTGAATAATTGTGGTTTAAATTAGAAAAAGCTTCTTAAAATCTATCAAAAGCTTTAAGACTTTATGGAACTTTTATAAAAGAAGTAATATAAGATGAACAATATGGTGATGAAATCTTAAAAAAATCTATCATAAATTAATAATAATATTAATAAAATAAAAAATAATTAGTTACTTTTATATGTGGAGAAGATATAGGATTTGAACAATAAGCAACTGTTATTGTATCAACTTCAGTAGAAAAGTTTGCTTAAGTATTAACTTTGAATTAATCATGTTGTAGATTGATTGGATATACAAGATAAGAAATAATAAATAGAAAAATTAATCTATTTATGCCAAACTTATATACAAAATTTCATGATCAATATATGTAAAGATTTTTAATAACAAGTGATATAAAGAATATTAATAAAGAAAGATTTATCTTTTTAAAAGATAAATAAAATTATTTAATACCATGTTTTATTGTATTAAGAATTTTACATACATTAGAAGAAAATGTAAATCTTGCTGCTTAATTTCTGGCTATTAAATCATTTAAACCAAATTGTTATTTTATTTTAGATAATGAATATGTTATTGATTCTATGTCAGCATCTGTTTTTTCATTTTTTGGAATTGAAAATAGACATTTAACATAAAAAAAGGCATATTTTTAATAATTATTTCCAGATTTTCTTGATGAATTAGAGACTTTTAAAAGTAAATTTGGAGGTCGTCTTAAATATTATCCTGATAATCTCAAAAGAACAGTTCATTATTCTCTTTCAAGTATAAATGCTTTAGAAAGAGAGCTTGAATTTAATTGCATATTAAGAGAAATTATAAATACTTCAATAAATGAAATAACAGGATATTATATAAAATTAGAATTAATTAATGATAATTAATAATAATTATAATCTATTTAAAGAAAAGGATAAAGTAATTTATAATTTAAATATTTGATAAATGAATAAAAATATTTAGGAGATTTTATTTAAGAAGATAATTCAAAATTATCAAATAGTATATAATCAAATTCAGTTGATCATTCCTTTGCTGAATCTTAAAATAATAATAATAATAATAATGAACATACACATATAGAATCTAGTAGACGTAGATCAACAAGATTTGGAGATAGATTTTAAGTAATAATAGATTATGCAGAAAATATTAGAACTTTAAGATTATTTGATAATAAACTTTTAGAAGTAGAAGATGAAGAAAGTTAAATTTCTGAAGATGATGATAGAGAAAGTGTCTTTTAAAATTAGATTGAAATTAAATCAAATTAATCATAATTATATGAATTTGATAATAACATATTTCATTCAAGAAAAAAATTATAGAAAATTATTAATGCTTCAAATACACCAAAAGCAATAATTAGAGTAACATGGATTGCAAATATTATTGCTATTATTATACTATCATTATCAATTATTGATTATTATATATCAAATTCATAATCTGATCAAATATATGATACAATACTTTTAGTAAATTATGGAAATATTAGAAATAGTGAATTAGGAATAATATTAAGTTCTGTTTTAAATTTGTAACTTTTAAATAGAAATGTTTTCAATTTCACAAAAATATAAGCTACATAGTATGAATAAGAATAGAAATAATTTATTAATGATTCAATATCTATGATAAATGATATAAATAAGTAAATTCTTCTATTGGTTGATAGTATGACAAATTCATTATTTACATTTGAATATAATTTAAATGAGATCAAAATAAAAATGAACTAAGAAACTATTCAATTATATAATTTAAATTAAGCTATCCAATAAATTATTAGTAAATCATTAATAATAAGAGATAAGAATATTACATAATTTAATTATTAAGATTTAGATATTTCTTTTTTAAATTATAATTTACTAAATGAAATATATTTATCTTTAAAATAATCTTCTAATTAATTTATTGATAATCTCATTAAAAATGCTTCTAAAAAATACACAGCAGTTCTATTACTTTTAATTATATCTATTTCTACTATTTTTATTGGTATTTTACTTATAGTTATTGCAATGTTATCTGTTTCAAAATCTTAAACTGAAATTTTATTATTATTTTTGAATTTACCAGATAAGACAATTAGATTTTTATATAGATAAAGTGAGAATTTTTTATCTAATTTATAAATAGGAGAAGATGGTGATCTTACATCTGAAAATGATAGTAATTTAGATTAAGAAGATAAAGATGATAAAATACAATTATAAAATACATTAAAAACTAAAAAATCAAAAAAGAAATTTAAAAATAATAGTGGTGAAGATAATTATCATATTTATGCAATCATTATTACAATGATCATAATTTAATTTTATTTTATTTTAGCCTTTATTTTTAGTAAAACATAAGTCAATTAAATTGAAAGTGTTTGTTCTGAATTTAATTTGACAGCTAGAAGTGAATCCTACTTTCGTTTTTCAGAAATAAGCTAAAAATCATTATTTTATTCAAGAAATATGAATATTTTGAATTCTGATCCTTATAATTATGTAATGCAAAACATTGATGAATTATTTAATCATGATTCCAATTTTTAAGAATATCATTCTTTAAATATTGATTTACTTGATTCAAATTATATTGATGCATATAATTCTTTATTTGTATATAATCCTTG